GGCATTCACGAAGGAACAGGATATTTCTAGAAAACGTGGCGTGACACTAGTCACGTGACCTCGGTGACGCAACAACACTATGAAAATATTAGTAAAATGGTACATATACTATCTACAACAGAAATATAATGTTCTTCCTTATAATGTTCTTCCTCTATAAACTGAAACTTTTTTGAAAACTAGAAGTATGAAGAAAATGTTTATTCATTTGCAGCTCCTAACTGATGTTCTAAATTTTATAAATTAGATTAAAAATATAATTACAAACAATAAATTGGTGCCAATAAAAATATTCACACTTCCTAATCACCAAGTGAAAAAAGAAATTGATTATCAGAAAAATAACAAGCTTAACATACCAAAACATTGATCATATAGTTCCCTTCTAATGGGACATATCCCAGTTTCTCGAGCTTGTCTTTGCTGTAGCTTCATATCTAACTGTTCTTGAATATTGAGGACATCAAGACGTGTGGCAGGAGTGCTAGAAACATGTTGAACCCATAACTGACCATCTTCTTCCCATTCTCTGCCAGGAAGACCAGGTAATTCAGTTAAAAAAAGAAAATATTTTAAAACTGCTTACTAGTATAGAAAATAAACTACAGTAAAGCTCTATAATCTGGCACTGTCCGGGTTAAACAGATGGCAGAAATTATGGTTACAAAAGAGCTTAATGTAGAGTATTTCTATATCATCTATAACAATAACAGTTTAAAACAATGTTGTAAAAAACCTTAAACTGTATAAAAACATAATTACAGTATTTTAAATGTGAATCCCAGTAAAGACACTAACAACTGAAGCTTACTGACAGGAAAAAGCATAAACAAAGTCACAGCAGTGACACTAAGCTATAATGAGCATTTGTTTTTAAAGATAATGAAATTTCTTGTTATAAGAACTTTCATGAAACAAAGGTGCCAGATAACAACTTAAAACTTTTACTGTATCTTAAAACCAGTCTAAAAGGGTTTATTCAAAGGAATGTTTCTGATATTGATATGCAATTCTTATCTAAATCAAAGCACTCTTTTGATATCCCATCTTTATAAAAACTATAAACAAGAAGATCTAAAAACCACTATGTCGTATATATCCAGATATAAGCCAAACATGAATCTTTAAACACACAAGAAGCACATCTGAACATAAGCGCTGCCAAATAAGAAATGATAGTTCAGAAGAGTAGTATAGAGGGAGGCACATGCATCGCGTGAGCATGTCATGCTCCTATTGGTGGAGAAGTGATGCCTGGTGATTTGCACGAGAGACATGTTAGAATCTCTCATTTCCAATAGGGAGGAGCAGAAGGCTTGTGGCATGCATAAAAAAAAAGTTCACATATGGAGGGAAGCACTGAATGAGAACAGTTAATTTTGTGAGCAGAGGTCACATACAGTTTACAATATTTCTCTGCTAGCTTCTTACCAGATTCACTTTTTTTTTAACTTGCTCACAATGTCCACTTTGTCATACAACGAAAGAACCACTCTTTTACGTTTGGTGGACATTTTTACCCCAACAAAAAGCAACTTTGATAAAAAAAAAACATAAACACACATTTTTAATTTTTAAGGAAACACAAAGTACCTTCATGCTCAGTAAAGCTTTTGTTGCAACTGATGATTCTATAGCGAGATCTACCTTTTGCTACAAAGTAATCCAAGTGTGTTAGGACATGTTTAATATTTTGTGGTTACAATTAATGGAAATATTATCTTATGTTTTATCAGTGCTGTATGCTAAAAAAAAGTTCACTGTGTGATGAACAGTAGCTACCCTAATGAGAATCAATTCTGTGAGAACGACACTCAAACTCAGACATAGATACTTCTTCTAGAATGTAGTATGTGTATATATAAATATTATATATATATGTGTGTGTGTGTGTGCATATATATATATATATATATATATATATATATACAGTCCCCCACTGTACTTTTTCACTCACATTAAAAGAGAAAAAATAGTCTTTGATACTTCTACATCATTACATCATGATTAATGAGGCTAGAAAACCCATTATAATAAGTCTAAACATGGTTTACAGCAACACCTGGTGTGCAAAGATTTAGAAATATTACAGGGAATGGTTCTGGACAATATGTGCCTGGTATAAGAACAGACTGATTATCCACACAAACACACTGTGCCAGTGCACTTCAGAATGAAAAATTTTGAAAACTTTGTAAATAGACAAATATCTTACCTGTTTCACTTAAAAGATAAAAAACATATATATGAGATACTAGAATGATTTGGGTGAAGAGTTGCCTACCTGAGGCTTGAAGCTCATGGTAGCTCAGTTGGTTAGGGCAAGTTGTTTTACCTTATTTCAAAGTATATCAATATGTTCATAAGTTGAAACAACAGATTTTATAGAGCAAAGCTACACTTGGCTGTGTCTACTGTGGGGAATAAACCATAAATTCTAATGTTTAAGTCCATAAATTTACCACTCTTCCACTGGGGAACAAAAAAACAGACATATGATATATATCTATATTTGACCGGTTTTCCTGATATGCTCTACTGACCTTGGGGGAAGTATTGAATCGAGAATTTCTTCATATAGTGCACTGTTTTTCTGCTTGAAAGCTGGAAGCTTTTCTGATTTACTTATCACACTTTCTGTTTGTGATCGTGGTGATAGTTGAGCAGATTTTTCCTGAAAAACAGTAGAAGAACCTAGAATTCATAATGTAGAACTTTTATTGCAATCAAAAAATATCTGAGAAACTTCAAATTGAGCAATTATGTATTTTGTTACTGCAAAAAATAAATATTTTTTTATTATAAAGTATATGTATATATTATAAAATTCTTACTTTCTTTTCTAAATAATACTAATTTCATAGAACATTATATACACCTAGAATAACAATTTGTTTAGTTATATAATTAGAATACTTAAATTTCCTCTTTTTTTTTTCATTATGAAAGGATTTACCTTATGAACACTTGTAAGTTGATAAACTGGAATTATATAAGTTTCTATCTCATGATTTTAAAATACAAAAGATTTGATCCTTCTTTGTAAAACGTTTATCATATGAGAATATAAAGTCATTTAATAAAATAGTTTTTTTTGGATAGAGTTATTTCCTATTGTTTTAATTTCAATTTAAAAAATCATGAACTTTTTTTCTTCTGATGTAAAATTCTTGCAATAAAAGATATTTCTGATAAAAAGATGGGTTTAAGTTTATGTTTCTCACAGATGGGTGTGCAAGGACAGTAATGAGCAACCAAATGGTTCCTTGTTGTCCACATGTAATCTTAAAATGACTTATGCTTAAAATCAGTAGTTTGAACTTTGGCAAGTCTAAGAATGTAGTTATGTCAGTGAAAGTATTTTTTTACATAATTAAATGTTACATTTGTTGGTATGTGTAAAAAATAATCTCCTAAAACTATTGCATAGGCTTAGATTTAGCATTAAACTAGTTTGTTTTTAACATTATACCTTAATAACCTTTAGGTCTCAACGATAATTATTAAAATGACTCAACAAGAGAATGAGCAGCTTACATGTTACCACTACCAATAGCAGGTTATTTCAGACTTAAAATTTTTGACTAAATCTAAATGACATTTTTTATGTTATTATTATTGTAAAATTAAAAACAGTATGTGCATAACATTATTTAGATAATCAACACGTAAGTTAATTAAATTATATCGTTTAATTATAGGCCTAAGCTTAACTGTAGCATTTCATTAGCAGTATATCTGGCCAGCCTAAAGGCTAAACACAACAGTTATACATAGTCTCTGGAGCCTACAAAAACAATATATTTACACACCTTTGGTGATCTCTTTACTGGATTGCGTGTCACAAGTATAGGGTTTTCGTACTTTACTAAGGATGAACTGGAGGGAATTATGTTTTTTTGTTGTTCCATTGAAGAGAAAAACAGTCAAAATCAACCCAATGTAATACTTGGGCTTTGAATTAATCTTTACACTATTGCATAATAATACTTGAGATTTGGCGTTTCCAGTTACCATAGAAACTAAGTTACACACTTTTCGTTAGGTGGCTAAATTTATATTTCGCGTTAGTATAATTTCAAATACGAAACAGAAAAACGAATAAATGATACTTAAGTATACATAGTAAAATAAAGGTTGTATCACTTATCCACATAAAATATATGTTCGTATAGTAATGGCAATAAAGAAAAACAGCAATTAAGGATTATAAAGAGTTTGACATTTTAGATAACAACAAAACACAAAACTACTCCTAAGGTCTAATGGAGCTAAAATACAGCTATAGTAGTATTCAATATATTTTTCGTTATTTTATTATTATTATTGTTCAATAACATAGACGAAGTATCGGCATTCGAGTAAACTTTTCATGATTTTCCTCATATTTTTATATCTGCTATATGCTTCATTAAATTAACTGCTATTTTAAGTGCCAAAATAATTGTATAATTTACAACCAGCATTATCGGAGAAAACTATATTTCTATATTGTTCTATTAATCTGTATTACAAACTAGGCAAAATGCACATTCAAGTGCTTTTAAAATTATATATATTGAAAGAAACTTTCCGCTATCCCCTAAAAGTCTTAACACATTTTGTTTTATTACATTTGTGTTATAAAATGTATTTCATAAACACAATATCACTCTTTAAAATTTGCTGTTGATGTTTTTTTTTTATCTGATGAAAAGTGAGCTATACTAAAAATGATTGAAATATTTTTACCAGTGATAATTTCACTGAAAGTGGTGTATATTCTATGTTCATAATTTTAATACTCTTGAGGGCGCTACCGTCGCGATTTATACTATATATATTTCATCAGGAATATTGTTCTGTCTTTGAATGACGATGAGGGAAGAAATTTTATTGATCGTAAGTTACTTTAAATCTAGTATGATCTTGGAAAAGAATTTATATTAATGAAACTGATTGTACAATTCAAAATATATATTTGTATATCATACTGTTAGGTGCCTTTATTTTACTTAGTTATATGTCTTATGTATAAATAATTTGTTTGCAAATCCTGGCGTGATTCTGTCTTTTCGAGTTATTCAATTGTCTGTAAGTGTAATTTCGACTTGATGGTCGTAAAAGGATTTGGTTTGAACTTTCATTTATGCGAAGAATTAATACTACTGCTCGTTAACAAGTGAACTCAAAACTTTAGGAAGCCGCACTTAACAATACTTTTGAGTATGATTAACACAAGTGTGGGTTACTCCAAATCAAATTTAAGCTAAGTAAAGTCAAAATGTGAAATAACCGACTATTTGTGTTTTAACTTAAGTACTAGTCACTACTGGTAGTACTGAGTGATGTACAGTGTTTATGGGTCACTAGTGACAAAATATCCGATTACAGTAATCAACTTTGAGAATTTTAATGTCTATATTTAGATTATAAATAAACTTAATATCTTGTGAGATTAGCCTTCAGTTTATGGATCTCATTAACTATGTTAATGGTCTTGTTAAACTTTTGAGAGTTGTTTAGATTAGTTTTTGGCAACTTTGTGAAACTAATTTTGTCATACCCATCATAAGTTTGGCTGAGATTCTAAATTTCTTTTAGATTAAAACTAAGGTAGAGGTAGCCTTTTGTTCTTTTATGTAGTGAATCATGTGTTTGGCAAAGATGGAGTCTTTGTTCAGAGTTGCTTAGAGGTTGGTCTTATTGTTGATAAGATGAGGTTGTGCTTCTCTGTTGTATTATCTTTCACATTGTTTTTTTTTTTTTGCTCTGTATAGTTCTTGATTTAACAAGTTGCTTTGGTTGGTGGTGCATTGTATGTGATAATGCTCATCTGGTTAGAAGTAGCAGGCAAGTTGTTGGTCTAATTTTTTAGCAAGTAGTTTAATTATTTGGAATTTGTGGTAGCATTTAGAGGTTTTGTATGTGTTGGATAATACCTGTAAACTTGCATAAACCACAAAGTGTTAGAAAATGAATTAGGGTAGTAACTTTTTAGTACCTAAAGTTTGTCAAAACAATTGCAAGTGGGTTCGGTGCTACTATAGCCGTGAGGTCTACCGCCATATGTCGCCTACCCAGGTCTATCAAACATGTATAAAAATGTATCAAATTAAGTGTTTATCGCTAAAATAAATGTATGGAAATGTGTGATACATTTTTATACATGTTTGATAGACCTGGGTAGGCGACATATGGCGGTAGACCTCACGCTATAGTAGCACCGTTTATTATATTCAAAGTGACTAATTTGATCAACTGGATGTCTCAATAATTTGGAAGAAGGACTTCATCCCAAATACTTTTGGAATGAAAGAGGTTTTTTTCACTGTATATGTACATTAACTTTCAGATATAGGGCTCTTGAATTCCCATTCGTGTATGTGTGTATTGAGTGTTGCGTGAATTTATCTCAGAAAAATATATGAATTCATATGGGTGTAGTTGGTCAGTGCTCCAGCTAAGCTCGTCACATAATGAGGTTTCTTGTTCTACAATGTTGAAAACCCAATTCTAAAAACTTGTGTATTTTTGAGTTTCAGTGACTTTTCTCATCATCCAACACATGTTTTGCTGTGTTTATTAGGCACTGGTTCTTCTTATTTCTGTATGAATTTCCTGTTAAGAGTCACCCAAAGAAATTACAGTATAAATTCAATACAGTGAACACTTAGTTGACGTCGTCGATCAATTTAGACTGGTATAATTTATAGTTCAGCAGTAACCCCTTACATCAGATAATTGCCAGCTGGTGAAACTGTATAACTCGTTTATGATTATTGCCTTTTCTCTCTAAAAGTTGTCATACTAAGAAAATAAAGAGTCTTTGAGTGACGTAGATGATTAATCTGTTAGTATTTGATGTTAAAGGAATTTAAATCAAATCGTACAAATCACTGTATAACTCATCAGTATGTTTACCGTGAGAATGATGTCGCATGCTTTGTGTTTGTTTTATTGCTGATACAGGTTTTTGTTTTTTTCCGAAGTAGCAAATATACATGAATGATATATGTACCGGCAAATAGTATGCACATTTGGTATGCATAATTTTTATTTTTAATGCATTTTTTTAGGTAAAAAAAAAAAATTCATATGTACATAGATATATATCTTACATCTAGAACTGGTTGGTCATAACTCTTCCAGTTTAAAACTGTTTATTTTTCATTCACAGGGAGAACTATCAGGAGCCTTCTGCAGTCACATCTGTTCCTGGTTTTAAATGGTTGTGTGAGCGGGTCATTAAAAGAGCTCGGTTTTTTAACACTGAAGACGTGATCAATATATTTCGAACTCTTAGCTACCTTAAAGTCCCATACTCCTCAGCTGTATGTACTAGCTTGTGTCAGATGATTCGACACACCATCAATGATTTGAAACTTTCAGAGATAATATTTTTGGATTTTTTATTTCACCAACAGAAACCTACTCCATTGGTTAGTGCTTTAAAAATGGCATTACCACTAGTTATGGAATCTCAGTTAGATATCCAGCTTGATCATGACGATGTAAATCAAGTAGCAAGATGTCTAACAATAGCTATTAAAAAGAACTTAAAGTCTTCAACAGTTGATGTAAGTAACATAATATTACCTAATGAATGTATTGTATATTAAAAACTTTAAATATAGAATTTATGATGTAACTGAACTGGTAAAAGTTTTCTTTATGTTTGCTTATATGGTCACTGAATGCTTAATGTTTTATTTAAAAAGTACTTTTTTGGCTTTAACTTAAGAAAAAATATTTTTTGATGGTTGCTTATATGGAAATTGCTTTCAACTAAAATCTTTATGAGCAAAATAAAATATACTTACAGTATTATTATTTCTTTCATTTAATTTAATTTCCTGTTCAGAAGTATCTTGTAAAAACAACTCCAGTAAATCTTTCAGACACAAAATGATTTGCTCTGCAAAGCATATGACAAAGTTAAAATATATTAATTGTTTTCTTCAGATGCAAGTATTTGTTGTAGATTAGTTTACAGATGCCAAAGGAAAGTAATATAATTTAGTATATAAAAAGGAGGTTATTTTAATTAATACAAAATGTATACAATTACAGAAGTGTCATGTGGCTTGCCTTTATCTTAAATTTTCCAATAAAAACAAAACAAAAAACAGTAAGAAAATTATTTTTAAAAATCATTACTCATTACATTGGGCAGGTGCTTTGGTTTTAAACACAATCTTATCTAGCTAGAGTTATGTTTATTACAACTTATTGGAAATTTGTTACAGGTAAATGATGTGTTGTAAGGTGATTTTAATGCATTTTATAAGTTAATTTGTATTCAATATTCACAGTTCATCTATAAATTATTCTGTTGTTCAAGTCCCTTTAAAATTTAGTTGAAGCCCTTAGCAAGTGAAGTTTTCTGCTTTTTAACATTGATTTGTTTTGTTTTAAATTTTAATTGGATTTCGTTTTGCATATTAAAGTTTTGTATTTGAAAAAAGTACTTTCACTGAACATATTGCATGATTATGTCATATCTCAACTGGACCAGGATTCTTGGTATTGGGCAAAAGGCCTCATTGGCACTGGGTATATTATATATAGTGTGGTTGACATGTTGTTCTACACTTTTGTTTACTTGCACTTGCATGTTCTACAAGCCATTTTATTAAACTTATTAGCAGTTTGTCTGGTTCATATGATTACTTATTTTCTGACAAATTGTTTTAGTTTTATGACTTTTTACCTGAGTTTTTGAAACCAAAGTATTTTAAATATTTAAAAAGTATTTTGTTCAATCTAATCAGTAAGGTTGATAAAAAATTTCATTAAAACAATGTATAAAAAATTAAATTGATGAAGGTCAGAGTTCAACCTTCAACTTGCACAACAAAGCATCCTGGTTTTTGTGCTGGGCCATTCTGGATTATTTGCAAAGGAGTGTGGGGATTTTCCTTTAATGTTAAAGTTAATGGTGAATGTTTCTGACTGTAAGGCCTGATTTCTCTATGAAAATACCACATGAGGAAATTTTTTTTTTCAAATTTAGATTCAGGGCATTGGTGAAATATTATTCTGGACATATTTGAGTGTGAGAGTTACCAAAGTATCCATGTCAAAGGTTTGGGTTAATAATTATTGTTGCTGAATGAAAATATGCTTGGTAAAATAAATAAACTGGAAAAATCTGTAGAAAAATGTATCGGTCTCTTACAATATCTAGCAGGCCTTGAAATTAAGCCAGACCTTTCAAACATGTTGAGTAAAAATTCATCATGTCTCCTACAATATCTGATGATTTAGCCTGGGGGTCAGGTTCTTTTTCATCTTTTTTTTTCTTTTAATGAAAAGCATGTAAAGTTTAGTGGAGAACTCCGATATCTTTCTTTTGGTTTATTTTTCTCCGAGTTCAATTTTTCCCCATTTTAAATCTCTATTTTTCACTATTATACTTTGAGGTGTTACAGTATCTTAAAAGTTCCGAGTGTTGTTTTAATAAAAATGGTTGCTTTATTCCACAGAATCATACTCAAAGAAAGTAATGCTACATATGGTAGTAAATATCTGTTTTATTTGGATTTTGACAGATGATTCAATATAATAAATATGATTCCTTGATACAACATGATAAAACCCTATAACCCAAGTGTTTTTGAAAGGTGGACCTTTCTTCTTCAGGGGCAAACTGGGAATGATTCCATCACTGTTTTTGTTAATGCCAATTACTTAAGGCCCTACATGTGCAGGTATGTTATACGACACACTGAACATTAATGCATATGGTATTGTTTGCCAACTGATGCTTACAAGGTAAAAACAAATCAAAATGAAAAACAAAAGAATTATGAAAGGAGAAAATGGCAGAGGAAAGTCTGCCCTTAATGGTTAACAGGATGGCCCTGGCTGTTGTTTAAGAAGACATCCACTGAGTCCATTGCCTCTTGTACCAATGACGTCTTGGTAAATTATTAGATTGTTTGGTTTGGTAAGATCCAGCAAGGTCTAGCATGGTTTTCAAGTAACCCAGCCAGTGGGCATTCAGTAAAAATCCCAATTTCCAGCCCTGCTAGGCGAGTATTTTATGCCGTTATTTCAATTCTGACTTTGTAAAATTTTTTGGGATGATATTATACCAAGCTAATGAATTTACTGAAGTTATTATTTGAACTGGATGAAACTCTAACAGATTGCTTATACATGGATAATGAAAGATTTTTAAAGAGGAAGTTAAAAATGTGAAAGGATAACCCACATAGTGTAATATTAACATCACTTTTAAACATATATTTATTTGCATCAAGGTCTTAATATATCCGAGGAAGCATATTCTATCCAAAACCTATTGTAAATGAATATATGTTTGTATTAAAGTGGTATTAATATTATGCTGTGTTCTTTATTTTTGCCATTTCCTACCATATACTCTTTAAAACTTTGTTATCTGTAATGATACTTGTGTTGTTGTTTACAATTTGTGGATGTTTGAATTACTTTACTTTAATGTCTACTAAACTGTTTCATTTTTGTTGACAGTGATATCATTATTGCATGATATGAAACCAAAATTATGTACTTGCTTTTTCTAGAAACTTGTACAGATCCTGTTAAGATGCCCTAGTGAGCTACAAGTCCAAGAAGCTTTTGGAGTATGTCTAACAATAACTCAGATGAAGTATCCTACCGAAGAAGCTAGTCAACTTCTTAATGAAGTTCTAGAAGTACTGGTTATAAAAATAGATGGACTGTCTGTGAAGCAAATAAGTTGGATCCTGAGTCAGGCCATCAAGCAGAAGTTATATCACAAAAAACTATTTGAAGTGATATCAAAAAAAGCATTAGCAGAACACTGGCAGATGGGACAGTTGTGTACTTTGCTGCAAGCTTTGGTTCTCAATGAGTTTGTCTTTGTGGATCTTTTAATGCATCTGGCCAAAGAAATAATATCCAATCCTAGTTCTGTGTACAGTGATCCTCAAGTGTCTCCATTGTCAGTGGCTGAGGGATTTGCACTTTCAGGTTTTTCTCCCCCTCATGCTGAGGAGGTTTGGAGAGTTCTGGCTGGTTCCACTGAAAAATTATCAAAACTGGAAGAAAAAGCTCCTCATCTTTATATTAAATTCTTTAGCTGCTTAGCACAGTTGGATTTCTTTCCTCTAGACTTGTTGGAGAAGATGCTGAAAACCCAATTAATTGATCAAACTCTATCTAATCATAGATTTAAAAGTTAGTAATATTCCGTAAGAACTTGCACTTATTTTTATCTGTAGTGTTTAAGATTTTATCACGTACAATATAGGAATGTATTTTTACACATATTTTTTTTAAGACTTGAATTTCTATTCAGTGACAATTTAAACAAAACTAGAACACTCGTACCTACTCTATGTATCGCATGATAAATGTTTACTAAACCCGCACATACATCAGTCATAATATGATATCAAATGCATCAGGCTAATTCTAAAGTAATATGAGACATGAAGTTACGTTAATCTGAAGTATTAAGCCTAAATGATATAACTCTTACATTCTGGGGGGGTGGGGTCTATACAATATCAAGCAATTTTACTTTGTTGATAGCTAATTTGTGTACTTGAAGCTTAAAATTAGATAGCTGGACAACTTGTCTTGTAGGACATGTACTGGTAATTTTTAATAAGTACTTGTATTAACTGTCCTCACATTTTTATTGCATTACAATGTTCTAATTTAAAATTTCTGCTGTTGTCCTAAATGAAGACCATAACAATTTGCTGTTGTCTCATGCAGGTGACAAAAAGCAAACAGCATTACTTTGATGCATTTATTAAGAACAGAGGCATGAGAACGGGGGGTGCTGTCGCACAACCACTTTTCAGCACAGCAGCTTCTTATATTTTCAATATCTGATTTTAAAACCTGCATGTCTAGCCAAGCACCTCACTTTGTAACTCCTTGCTACACCACTGAAGAACTAATATTTTATTCATTGAATAAATTATTTGGAAACTAAAGCAGCTGTTACAGTCATAACGATTGTATCTTTAAAAACAACTGAAACATCATGCTCATCAAAGAACACATTTTGTTTAAAAGGCAAGAGTTTATAATACTGGATAAATATAAAAACAAACATACATATACAGGGTCCAACAGTGAAGGGTCCTGGACTCTCAACTTTTTTTTTCAAGAGCCCCAGTGAGATCTTCGAGGGTCCCATAGGTAGAATTTAATAAACTCAATAAAAAAGGAAAAAAAAAGCACTTCAGTGTCAATGAAAAACTTTATTTACAATTTATGCTGCATGTTGTTCCCTTTATGAGTGCAAAGTAATTTTCATGATAAAATAAAAAATACTTTTTTTTTCACTGAAAATTTTCATATTTTATTTGCATAAAATATCACTTGTTTTGTTTTTTTTCATAAAAATTTTATCTTTTATTTTCATTATCCTAACTTTATATGAGATCGGTTGATTTGACTGACCTCGTAACCACCTTAAAAAATGAGGAAATAATTATGAATTTCCCCTATTTTCTTTCTGGAATGACTGCAAATTGTAACAGAAAACCACAAATGTTTATCCTAAGTAGCATAAAGCTTAGAACAGTATGCATTTATTTATACTTCAATTTTACCTATTTTATTACTATCTAAACCATGTCTAACTATTATTCACACCATATAAAGTGCTAATCATGTGGTGAACGTGCAGCTCACATTATGGTATCAAATTACGTAACGCACGGACTACTCGTGAACGTATGTTATAAGAAATTATTATTATTTATTTTACTTTAGCTAACCTAAAAAGTTTTCAATTTTTACATTTTTTTACTTTTATAATGATAAATAAAGAATACAAATTAAAAAATAAGAAATAAAAAGTACTTACCTTGTTTTTTTTTTGCTTTCGACTATCAATGAAACTTAACCCTACTTTTCTATACTAATTATACTAATGCATTAAATAATTTCTATTTAACTATATAATGCACTAAAGAACACAGAATTTTAACATGCAAAGAGGAAACAACATTCCATAAATATCACAATTTTTCTGGCTTTCTAACTGTGCCACAAAATCCGTTAAAAATTCAGCTAAGCTTGTTGATGTGTTTCCCATGGCAGACAACAATGTAGTATAATACATCATTTGATAGATTAAAACCTTGGCTTTCTATTTTTATAAATAATATAGTTTTAAATATCAGAGAGAACTATTGGTAAGTTCTGAAAGAAAGAATGTGGCAGATGGGCATGGCAAGAGGGATCTGATTTTCTGTTTTATTGCTCTGTAACTAAATAGGGTTGAAGACTGCGTAAATTATGCTTTGCCTGAACCATGAAGACATTATGATGAGTAATTTACATTAAATTTTGTACTTTTCAGAGGGGGTGTAAAAAAATTAGAGAAGAAGAAAGACATAGATAAAACACATCACAGTTCTCATACTAGGGGAGATTAAAATTTTTTAAATTATTTCATTATAAAATTAAGAACTTAAAACTTAAATAATACTAAACTTTGGTTTATTATTTATTTTCTGATGCCGAGTTTTCTTATACATTGATAATAAAGTAGTGTAATTAAATTTTGAATGTAACTCTGAAAGGCTGTTACATGCATACTTTGACCTAAACTACGTCAAAGGGTTAATCATGTGGTACTTTCGTATGGCTTTATTTTCATGCAATTTATTGTCATTGATAAAATGTGTAAGAAGTTGATTGTGGACAGGTGTGTGCAAACTGTATGCTGTTTAGTTTATTATGGTACAGAGTTCAAAGCAAAGTACTTGTGTTTGCCTTGCATGTGGGGCATTTTGTGCTGTGTATTCAGTACCCAAAGAATCAAATCTCATGTGTCCTGACAATTTCTGATGCTTATGAGACCCGGGAGTTCGGGTTAACTAGAACCCTGACATGGTATTGCAAATATTCAGTTTATGCTTTTATTTTGTAACTATTATATTATGTAAAAATAAAAAGGAGGAAATCATTTTTTCATTTGTTAGACAGGTAAAATGTTTGTAACTATTTACTTGAATCATACTTTCATTTTTGCACTGATCTGGACAGAACAACTTTGATTTCAGTTTTATTGTGCTCATAATGCCTAAGCCAAGATAACAGGTTGATCTAAGTTCACAATTAACAAATAGATTATACTGCTGGTTTATTTAACATAATCCCAGATAATTGTAATTATTATTTTGAGCTTTATATCTTTCTTTCAGCTTAAAATTTTAATAGTTAGTATAATGAGTATAAATATTTCAAGTAAAACT